AGAGGTTGAAGATTTTATGAAGAAAATCTTAATCTAGATGGGATGTTATTTATGTGGTGGGATAGTAAATAAGCGATGGTGAGTTTAAGTGCTTTTTGTTATTATTAAGTGTTGTTAACAATTAATATTATTAAGTACGAAATTTAAGTATGATCAAGCCATTTTAACATTAATTGTTATCAACTATGAACATTTAGTGATGCTAATTTTAATTGTTATCAGTATCACTATGTGTTCTTAACATTGAATATTATCATTTATGAACATTAAGTGTTGTTAATATTAAATTTTATGAAATTTAATTATCAGGTAATGTTAACACAAATGTTAACATTAAATCTTATATATTATGATCATTTAGTGTTGCTACCATGTGTTATCATTAAGTGTTCTTAACATTAAATGTTATCATTTACGAACAGTAAGTGTTATTAATATTCAATCTTATCGATTGTTGTCATTATACAATGTTAACATTAAATGTTATCAAGTGTTACCGTTAAGTGTTCTCAACATTAAATGTTGTGAAACATTGTTATCCAGTAATGTTAAAATTAAATGTTACCTACTATGAACATTTAGTGTTGTTATCACGTGTTATCATTAAGTGCTGTTAACATAAAATGTTATTATTAAATGTTTTCAACATTAAATGTTATCATTAAGTGTTGTTCACATTCAATTCTATCAATTATCACTAAGATTATTAAGATTAATAAATGTTATCATGTCAACACTAAATACACGCTATACAAGTATTGTTAATAGTGCTTGATACACGGGAAAAAATTTCTGGGAAAATTTACAACTATTGTAAAGCTGGACTATACTTTTATTACTATTAATTATCAAATATTTTAGAAGAAAAAATACTATTTATTCATGAAAAAATACGATATTACCATTGTAAAAAGTAAGAGATGAAAATTTCCAGTGCTGCCTCTGTATCTTTCCAATAGAACTATAACAAATTTTGCAATAGTTGAATTGGAATGTCTCTCAATTAGTGTGAGTGATGGCCGTACACAGCGCTAGACTCTGAGTTTATGTAAATATTAAAAGACATGGGTCTCAGTTTACCTTGGATAGCCTAGAGGGAGAGTCTCTGGCTGCCAACACAGAGCTCTGGGTTCGATTCCCAGATAGCACGAAAATATTTGTTTCTTTTTTCGATTACTGTACAGGTACCAATTCGTGGAACCTTCTATCTCTCTCCCTCCCTAATATTTCTTTTAAAAAAACCAACTGTGAATTTTTACAATAGTTGAATTGTAAAGTTCACAAACACATATTGTATAATTTGCTCTAGAGCATTCGACTTTTTAAGACTCATGCTAGTCTTATTTGTTGGATAAAATTAACAATAGTAGATCGTAAAAATTACTAGATGAGAAGTATAGTCCACCGTTACTATTTTATTTAGTAAAAATTACAATAGTAAAATGGTAAAAACTCCTTCAACTTTCTTCCCGTGTAACTTAAGACGTTATCAATCATTATTATTATTATTATTATTATTAAGTGTTGTTAACCTTAAATTTCAATGTCTGTTATAACACGTATTGATAGTATTACATGGTATCAAGTGTTAATATTGAGTCTTGTTAGTATAAATTTAAGAATTATCAAGTGTTGTCAACATAAAATTTTACTTACTATTAATATTTATAATCGTTAACAGTAATTGTTATCAAACGTTACTACTAAGTGTTGTTAACATTAAGCGTTATTTCCCTCAAACTTAAAACTTCTTCAGAAAAACCTATCAGAATTAATTTCATCCATTTATAAATTAACATTACCTCGTAGATAAAAAAATAATGACGATCTTGAATGTTTACATAACCAGTCCCGATAGAGCACTGGATGGAGATAAAAATCAATAGAGATTCTAGATAGAAGATAGAAGATCCTGGATAGCAGATAGTGGATAGTTTATTCCCGTTAGGGAACTAGTGTGTAGTATCTACCGGGTATTACGTATAAATTCTCATAGATTGGATATTTACATAAGCCTCTATTAAGCATGTAGTTTTGAAGCCACGCAAACCACCGGCCCGAAACCCCCAAGTTGCCCTATATATGTATATACACATAGAATATTGCATTGCCGAGTGGTGTTGATCGATTAGTAACCGCTTTGAACGGTTACTTCCTGTCCTCTATCCTCTCTTACAAGCAGACTACATCTCCACACCCTCAACCCTCTTAAACATGTTATATACTGTGGACAAGAAGTAAAGCTTGGCTTTCTGTGCCCAGTTTCCTCCTCCTCCTTTTACCCATGGCTACTTCATGGTTTCCTGATGCAATTAGTGGTGAGTTTCCCCATCGACGACTAATAGTCGATTTATAAATAATTAACACCAAATATACCGAGAAGAATATAAAACTCTGCGCTCGTGTTTGGGCACACACTCTCTGCTCGTTGCGTCAACGCCTAAATAGTTTTTTTCTATGAAAATAATTTCATCAATAACTACGGAGCATGTATTTTAATTTTATTATTTTTAAAAAGTTTAGCTGAAGTTATTAAGACAAAATAAAGTAGAAATATTCTTTAAATATAAAAATATTAAATGATTATTTATTAACATCAATATTAAGTTTAGTGGAGAAGTAGCATGTTATTTAATTTTATAAATAATAAAAACTAAAAATATTAGTAGATGAAAATTTCTGCGCTCGTGTTTGGGCTCACAATCTCTGCTCGTTGTACCAATTCACAAAAACTTTTTTTTTTTTTTTTTTTTTCATATTTATTATCAATAGATAAGTAGCATGTGTTGTTTGGTTTAATTGTTTTTAGAAAGTTTAGTTAAAGTTATAAAGACAAAAAAAAATACTTAAATAATGTATTTTGCAGCGCCATCTTACAGAAAGTTTAAAAACTATATATATGTTTATGTTTGTCATCTAAAATAAATAAACGAACGGTTATTTTTTTATTATATAGGTCATATTGGTCGGCTAAATAAGTTAATAAAAATAAAAAAGATTTTAACTAATAATAAAACAATTATTTATGAAGAATGATAATTATTAAAAACCGCAGACAGATAAATACTGACCGATATTTAAGAACAATATTTTACCAACACCCGGACAAGTTATAAGTGTTTTTTTTTTTTTCAACCCTATATCAACTATATTTTTTATTCATTTTAGATTATTTTGCATCAGCAGAAAAAAACAATTATCTATTGTATTACTTGACAATATTTATTTTGGTAGATTAAATTTGACTGTTTAGTGATTTATTATGGTGATCTGAATACATGAAATATAAAAGGTTAGCGTAATTTTCATTTTTTGTTCTCAGCCAGACGTATGTAATTCCGTGAAAGCCAGTCAAAATTTCTGTTCTTACACTAAAATTAAAATTTTTCATAATTGAATTAAATAAATAAAATTATTTATCAGAATATTCCGTACATATAAATAAATAGTTATTTTATTTAAATATTAATTTTCAGTTTTTGACTGTTCATTTTTTTACCAATTACATTCATACAGTCTAACTACCCTTTAGTTCGTTCCACAAAAATATTTGGTTTACGATTCGACGGAGTTTTTTAATTAATCCATGAATGGCCAACGGGGTCCTAGTGGAAAAATGGAAATAAGCGACCCTACAAATATTGATGGCTCCTACAAAAGGATGATAAAAATAAAGGAGGCTTGCCTATTATATATTATGTTATATTGAGTTTTATTTAATTTCGCGATTTTATATTATAGCAAAAAAGAAAATTTTTTTTCTCACTGGGAATTTTCTCACTAATTTATATTTTTTATAATTACAATTCCGCGGTTTTCGCGGGACGCTGGAATGTCCCTGGCACGTGTGATAAAAAAGGTGACATAGGGGCCAGGAGGGGGGAGGGATTCCGAGCTTGACCGAGTTTTTATTATGCAGGGAGGAAAAAACGAATTTTTATGAGAGAATTAAAATTTTAGATTCTCTGAATCCGGAGAAATAAGATTTTTTTTTTGACAAGGAAGGGGGCAGCGGACTCAAGGGAATATCGATGGAAAATTTAAAGCACTTACGAGAGAGTTTTCTAATACCATTTAGGAGAATAAAAGTTTACGGATTGATGTCGATTAGGGGTGACTTTTTTGGGATGGATAAATTTTTAAGGTAAATTGAGTTAGAAGTTGTTTGTAATTAGAGGATGGATTCTTGGGAGGGGGGAGAGAGTTTGTGATTTGTGGAAAATGTTTTTTGGAGGGAGGAAAAATTCAGAAGTGAATTGTGGGTTGAGGATGAGAGCTACGAAAAAAGTTATAACAAATTTTTTTATAGAAAATTTAATTTCCTATGAAAAAGATTCAGATCAATTATAATAGTTGGTTATTTAATGATATAAGCTATTAGGACTCTAAATTTGGTTTCTGGGCTAAGAACTGGAGATAGAGCAAAATTGTTGGAAGCCTTTCTTATAGATAATTCAATTTTTCATAAGAAAGATTCTTATAAATTTTTTCATATTTCTAATCAATTTCCGAAAAAATTAATTTAAAGTTCCAATAATTTATTATTCAGTACAATTGTCAATTACTAGGACTATGGATCAAATTTTTAGCTAAAGGGTTGGAGATACAAAAAAATCATAAAATAATTTTTTTGTAAAAAATTTAATTTTCTTTAAGAAAAATTCTTATCAATTTTTTTATATTTTTCCTCAATTTCCCAAAAAATCATTTCAAGATTTCATTTATTTATTGCTTAATTCAATTCTAAACTTCCAGATTTTTAAGCTAGATTTCCGGTCTAAATATCAAAGATCCGAAAAATCAATAAGAAACATTTTTCATCTAAAATTAATTTCCTACAAAAAGAGTATCTTTTAATTTTTTCGTATCTTTAATCCTCTAACCAGAATCCTGATAATAAAAAAGAATTCATTATTTTCGATGAAAAAACTAGGAATTTCCTAAGAATTAATCCTAAATCCTGCCTAAACTCCTAAGCTCCCCCTTAAATTTCACAAACGCTACTTACCAGGCGGACAATTGCAGTCATTAAGATCCCTCTTGACCCTGAAGATCCCTCCCTCAGGATAGGGAATTTTCTGTCCCAAAAAGGCATCCTGGACCTCTCTCCGGAGCCTCTTGACAATTACCTCGCTGTTTTCCTGATGGTCGCACCTTGCCTCGACGGTGGCCAGTCTGGACTCCAGAAGAACCTGCCGATAGGCGAGGATCCCGGAAATCCCGAGGCTCCCGATGCAAAGGAACAACATGGCCCAATTCAGGCTTCCTATTTCTCCTATTGGGGACTGTTCCTTTCTGAATTTCTTGGGCACCGACGCCTCCAAGTTCTTCCTTCCATCCGGCCAGTTTTCACTGCTTTCCATCCTGGCCAAATTTATGATCCTAATTTTTAAATCCTGATCCTAATCCTAATTTATCAATCTGATTCTAATTTCAAATCCTGATCCTAATTCTAGAACCTAATCCTAAATCGTAATAAAATCCTAAAATTTCAAGCCCTCGCGAGCTTTCACTGCACGTGCTTTCACACCCGCCCGCACTTTTCACTCTCTTATCAATAATTTTTTATCAATAATTTTTCTTTTTATTAATTATTGATTATTAATTAAATAATTATCAACCCAGCGGAGTCTTATCACTGTCATGATAAAGCCTCATTTATTTTTATACCCCATTTTTTATTTTTATTTTGTAAATAAATTAAAAAAACAAATTTGAACACTATTTTTTGTTTTTAGTTTTACACTCGCGAAATTTAATTTTTTTTTTTTTATTTATAAATTTATTTTACTCAGCAAAATTTAATAATAATTTGACGCATTAAATAACGCACACCGCGCACTACGAACGGTCGGAGCACGACTGAATAGACCGAATCGAGTGGAGGGTTTATCATTTCGGGTGACTTCGGAGCCGCTCGGGAGAATACGTCCCACGGTGGATGTAAGGCATGCTTATATGTATATATATATATATATGTACATGGTGTTGATTTGAAAAAAAATAAAAAGAAATTTAACATTGTTTGTTTTCGAAAAAGGAAAATTTTCCCGATTATTCAGAGTACAAAATTGAAGTTAAGAAAAGAATGAGCAGAATTATTTATTGCTAATTAGTTTCATAGAATCGTTGATGAGCATTCATAATTAGCGGGTGAACTTTTTAATGGGTAAGTTAAGTTATTCGGAAATTTGTAAAGTTTGGTCATCAATAATAAACTTTTTTTATTAAGTGTAGGAGGAATAATTATTGATGAGGTTTGGTAGATTTTGAGGAAGTACTGTTGATTAATTAGGTGGGAATTCGGGTGGCTGAAGTAGTGTGAAGGTTGGGTTGGTATTTGAGCAAGGCAACGTGAGAAATTTTGTGATGACATTGCGGTTTTGTTGATAATAAATGTTTTTAGATGAGTTTTTTTGTATGTTAGTTTTGTTGAAATTTAATCCTATATTAGAAAAGTGAATCTTAAATTTTACGAGACTTGATCAAAAGTTTTGTAAGACTTAATCCAAAATCTATGACGATTCAATCCTGAATGTTGTAAGATTTAATCCTAAATCTTATTTTTAGTAGATTTCATAAAAATCTAACTATTGCAGCCGCCCTCATGGCACAACTTTTGAAAAATTTAGTTATTTTCTGACTTAGTTTGTCGAGCTGAGTCAGAAAATATATATAGTTCAAAAGTTTATATATATACGATATAACGCGGCTTGTCAGCACGATAGCGTTTTCAATTTATAACCGATTCTTCTCAAACCCAGCATGCTTTATCTATCGATCAAGACCAAGGTTAAGTTCGAAGATGAGCTTAATTTGGGCGAGTTATTTGGAAATGACAGGATTTCGAAATTTTGAAAATCGTAATAATTGATGTTTTTACTACTTCAACTTGGTATAATTACTGAAGTATACAAGATATCAAAATTCGGTAAAATGCATCGTAAAGCTCTTTTTAATAAGCTTCAGTTTTCACTACTCAGAAGTGGTAATAGCCTCAATATTACTCCTTTTAGAGTTCGTTTAATGAAACAGTTTTACTGTTGCAGCCGTTTTAGTTTTTTTTTTTTTTTTGTATACTATCCTAGTAGTTTGTTTCTCTATTCATCATGAAATCTACTCCCATTTCGGCTGCCGAATGGCCTTTTAAGACTTGTTCCTAATTTTTTGATAAAATAAATCTTCAATCTTGTGAAATGCAATCCTTAAACTTGTAAGACTTGATCTTGAATCTTGTGCGACTTAATGATAAATCCTGAGAGATATAATTCTAAATCTTGTAAGACTTCTTCCTGATGTTTTGTTAAAATCAATCCTGAACATTGTGAAATGTAATTCTGAAGCTTGTGGGACTTGATCCTCAATTTTTTCAGCCTTATTCCTAAGTCTTGTAGGACTTGATTCTGAATATTTTAAGACTCGATCTTGAATCTTGTGAGACTTTATCCTAAGTCATAAAAAAGTTCATCTTCAACTTTGTAAGACTTAATTCTAAATCTTTGTAAGACTTGATCCTAAATTTTTGTAAAACTCGATCCTAAATCTTGTAAAACTCACTTCTATATCTAGTAATTCTTTAGCCTCATGTCTGTAAGACTTGATCCTACTTCTTATAAGATTTGATCCTGAATGTTGTAAGAGTTGATCCGAATTTTAGTTAGACTTAATTCTAAATTTCGTAGACTCAAAACCGAATTTTGTATGACTTGAAACTAAACTTTGTAAGACTTGATCTTGAATTTTTGTAAGACTCAATCTTAAATCTGTTTAAACTTTATTCTAAACTTTCTAAAACTTGATCCTAAATCTTGTAAAACTCACTTCTATATCTAGTAATTCTTTATCCTAAATTCTGTAAGACGATCGTACTTGTAAAATTTGATCCTGAGTATTGAAATAGTTGATTCTTATTTTGGTTAGAACTTATTCTAAATCTTGTTCGACTTAAATACAAATTTTGTAAGACTTGAAACTAAACTTTGTAAACTTGATCCTAAATTTTGTAAGACTTGATTCTAAATTTTGTAAGACAATCCTAAATCTTGTAAAATTCAAATCTAAATCTTAAATCTCGTAGAACTTCAAATTTTTTTAGAAATCCTCAAATTGTTAATTTTAATAAAATTTTAGTTATCCAATGAAATTTTCAAAATTAAAAAAAAAAATATCACCACCTCGCTTCCGTAAATTTCTCACTAGTTCTTTCTCTCTACAATTCACAGTATTCGTTGGTAAATATTTATTTCTAACCAATTTATTCACTCGTAAATTTATGCACATAATTAAAGTATTTTTTCAGCGCTCGATAACATTCAATTAAAAATTCAGTTATTAAAAAAATAATAATAATAAAAGTGAATCCTTGGGTATTTATTCATTATTTTCTAAACAAAACTCTATGCTATATATTTCTGTTTATATTTATCTAGAGTAGAGATTAAAAGTATACACCTGTTCAAATAAATAAAAACAGGTAAAGAATAAATAAAATAAGTAAAAAGGGCGTGCAGTAGCTTATCGGATCCGGCTCTTGCTACCAAAGCATTGGACCGGGTTCAAGTCCGGCGTACACCAATGAATATTTTCAATATTTAAGTGTATTATACTGCTCAGCCCAAGAAATAAAACGAGTTCCAATTTCAAAAGTTTACCCCCTCCGTAGTCGCTCATGACCTTAGTAAGTTTATGCGACTTTAAACAAATTAAGAAAAAAAAAAAATAAGTAAAAAGAATAAAATATTTTATTACATGAAAATAGATTTTTTATTCGTCAGATTAAATTCAGTCTATCATAACATATAAAGGTTGTATGGCGGTATTGAGATATATACAGAAATAAAATAAATCAATATAGAATGTGGATGATAAAAAATAGATGCCATACATAAAAATAAAAATCGAGTTAAAAAATTTAGCAAAAAAAAAATGAAAATAGATTGTAAAATGCTAAAATGTATTACGATAGACACCCGATAAATTAATTTATCTCTTCTACGTGCGTGAATTTTTTTATGTTTTAATCGTTTAATTTATTTATCGTTATATGACTTTCTGCAACTATTGTTATGCCGAGGTCAAAAATACACCAAATATCAAAAATAAAGTTAGTTTGAGGAAAAAAAAATTTTCAGGAGTCAAATTTGGAATTTTTATTTCTTCAAATATATGTTGGTAAACAATTTGAAAAAAAAAAATTAAACGAACGTGTTTCAAAAGTGCACTGTTGGAACCGTTTCTGAGTAAAATAAACTCTTACACGAAGAAGGTACGAAAAATTGAATTTGTAACTCAAGGGTTGAAATTAAATTTAATGGGCTTAACTCGGAACAGTCCTGAGAGCTTTCTAAATTAAATTTGTTTTGAAATAATTTTGTTGTAAAACTTTGAAAAATTTATTATTTTATTGACAATATATAATTTTTTTTGCGGAGAACTTTAGAGTTACACGTTCATGAAAATTTCTGATTTTAGTAAGAGTTAATCTTAAATATTGCTAAAATCAATCCTAAATCTTGTAAGACTCGTTACTAACCCTTAATTCTAAGTCTTGTAAGACTTAATTCTAAATCTAGTTAAATTCAATCTCAAATATTGTAAGACAATCCTCAATCTTATAAGACCATCTAAAATCTTGTAAGACTTAACCCTAAATCTTGTAAGACTTAATTCTTAATTTTGTAAGACTATCGAGAATATTGTAAGCCTCAAAGCTAAATCTTGTAAGAGTTAATTCTAAATCTTGTGTTTTTTAATCTTTAGTTTTATAAAATGTGATTCTACACCCTGTGAAAGTTAATCCTCATTTTTGTTTGAGTCAATCTTAAATATTGTTAAACCTAATCCTTAATCTTTCAAGACTTGATTCTAATATTGTACGAATCAATCTTAAATAATGTAAAACTCAATCTTACATCTTGTAAAAGTCATTCAAACTCGATCTTTAGTATTAAATCTAAATTTTTAGTCTAAATCTCTTCGATACTACCACATCAAACTCAAAACCTAATCAATATCACCATGACAAATCCGAAATGTCATTTTAATCATCAACGATTGTAAATCTTGGAAACTAATCTTTTTACCGCACTCCCGATATTTTCCCCTTTATTACCACAATTTTCAGCAAGACCACCCAAAAACCGAATTGCATATCATAAATCATTAACCCGTTGGAATGATAAACAGTGCATAAAAGTCAAATAAAGCAACATGACACCTAGTACATAAAATAAAATCATCGATCCAACGATCCAGTAGCTTCTGTTTGCCGTTATCTGTTCCGATGACTAATCTTTTGTCGATTAACGGTTATCCGGAAGCTGTCGTCAAGGTTTAGCTTCAGATTTGGTTTGGGGGATGTTGA